GAAACGCTATCTTACCCAATTCCTTTGTTTTGGTTTCAATCGGGCGAGGGCGCGTATCTAACTCATCCAGACAGCTGTCCAGCAGTCCAAACGTAGTTTGGATCTTACAATATATTGTCCTAACTCTAGCCTAACCTTGTTCTACATCATGTATTTAATTCGTCGAAAACATGGAGTGCCGACGTTCCTTCATCGACGTAGCTTGCTGCGGTGCGCTCGTCGTCGGCGGGCTCACCATTCTAGCGACCCGAGGATCTGACTCCATTTAGATCGTATAAATGTTTGCTATCGCCTATTCTAGGATATCATAGTCGACTTGAATCGCGTTAGTCAATAACGGAATTAAATAATTCGAATAACGAGAATTGATTTGTGAATACATATATTTTGAATATGAAGCGAATAAAACATAGCAAAGCAAAATGTCACGCGTGGAAGATGGCTGGGAAGCCAACTCCATTTTAGTCAAGCGTTGCTCAATATTTATAGTCAGACGAAATAAAGCTACAGACATGTGATTAATAGGATAAGAAGGGCACACAGATATACGCTCATATAAAAAGTCTAGATTGATAAGCGAATAACTGACAAGGTCAAAATGTGACTCAAGTAAAATGAATAGAATGGGATGTCCGAAAGCTAGAATAAGGTATATGGGCTTGGCATAATAACTGACACTACATGTATTGGTAATTGATACGATACACTAAGTTGGTGTAGTCGATGGTGTGACTTCCACGATTAGGTCTATTATTAGAGCAGTACTAATATCATAGTAGACCATAATTCTACGGTCTCATCACAATTCAAAAATCTTGGTTAAATGATTTACGGGACAACTGCCTAGTATCACTACGTGATTTCAAAATTTATCGTCAGGATCGATCAAACAATAGAAAGAGGCGTGGCGGCGGCGTAGCTACGTTTCTAAACGTAAACTGGTGTCGATATTCGTTTGCGTGTTTAAGGTTTTCAAATGACTTTACCGACTGTCTAACTCTATGATGTCGTCCAAAACATCTGAATAAATACAAATATGTTTATGTTACCAATATCTACGTGACTCCAGACTGCACATCATCTGCGCTATCTGTTTTCGCTGATGAATTCACTGAGTTCGTTTTTACTGCCTTCAGTGATTCACTTTCAGTTGTATGTGTTGATTTCAATTCATATGACTGTAGCTTCCTTATGTCACTAGGTCACCAAAATGTAGTAGATCTTCTTACCCGTTTGAATGTTCATTTAGACTTCGTTTCCATTGATGATGCGGGTATATATGTGACTCGTAAACGTGCTACATTGTCTAGCTCGGGTCACTGTATAATTTGTGTTCTACCTGAAGTACATGGAAAGCATGTGACGCGTACACTCTTACATCAAACCAAGAAAGCCAAATATAAGAATTACTTGGAAGGAAATATCCAAAATCAGAAAAAACATGTTTCATACGACTAACTGGGAATCATTGACAGATGACTCACTGTAAATCACTTCTGATGTTATCATTTGTTACCTTAAATTCTGTTTTGATATTTGTTGTCCCACTGAAACCATTTTTGTAAGTATTGATCGACTTACATCTTCACAACTAAAACGAATACGGAGGGCGAAAGAATGTACAAGGAGAAAAACTCAAATAAAGTTAGTAAGCTAAACGGACTGATAAACCTAGAGATTAGACGTATCAACTCTATGTTTACTCAAAAACTCTTGTCTTGCAAAAACTCTCCAAGCATGTGGAAACTCTTTAAAGAACTTACAGGTGACAGACAGTTTAGAAGCGATAACCAGCTGAATGTTTGTGACTTAAATAAGTCTTTTGTACGTCAGTAATCTGATGTGATGCTCCCTCTATTCACGGGTTTAAATAATAGCTGTGTTCCTACTTTCACTGAGACTGAAGTCCGAAGATGTGTCCAATCAATTAATTCATCCCGATGTTTAGGACCTGATGGTATCCCAAACCTTTTTAAAAAATGTGCTGACGTTCTATGTTATCCATTCACGACTATCTTTAAGAGATCCTTCTCATCTAATCTCATACCGAAAATATGGAGAAAGATTAAGATAATCCCTGTACCCAAGAAAGTACCTGGGTGGTAATGTGAAATTTAAACCTATTGCAATAACATCAACCTTCCTCAAAACAATGGAAGAAACTAATAATACTTCCACTTCAGCCTGCGATAAAAGAGCATATTGATCCGTATCAGTTTGCTTACAGATGCTAAAGAGGCACTTTAGATGCTGTTGCTGTTCTGCATCGCAATATAGTATTTAACTTAGAAAGGGATAAGAAGTATGTTAGATGCGCTTTTCTGGACTATACTTCAGCTTTCGATTCTATACCAAGACAACGTTTACTTAACAAGTTAATCAGCGTCAACACCGACAGCTGGATAACCAACTGGCTATGTTCCTACCTCTCTGGAAGGGAACAGTACACTGTGTTTGGAGGAAAGAGTTCAGAGTCTCTACTGTCTCAGGAAGGTGTACCACAAGGAGCTGTTCTTTCACCTCTTCTATTCTCTTTTTTTCTGCATGACCTGCCATCTTCCACAGAAAACACTTTTGTGAAATATGCGTATGATCTCACTGTATGTATGCCTATCTCTTCCTCTTTACATTCCATAGAAATGAATGAGTTTTTGTCTCGTATGGATTGTTAGTTTGTTGGCAATGATCTCATAATTAATCCGTCTAAATGTTAAGCTGTTAACTTTAGCATGAGACATGAACAGCATCTAAACACCATTTTGAGATCCCATAATGCTTGTGCCATTGGAGACTCATTGGTAAACACAGTGTCGAAGGTCAATTAACTTGATGTTACCTTTTCCTCTGATCTCTATTGGTCTTCCCACGTTTTATTGTTGCATGCTCTTGGGATTACTCGTCATTTACTCTCACAATTTGTCAATTCTTGCATATTACCAATTATTCTTTACTGTTCTCCATTATTCTTTCCAGGGCTTTTGAGAAAAGACTTTGCTGTATTGCGGAGAGTGCTGAAGGCAGTTAGCAAGATGTGTGGTGAATCTTTCGAGGTCATAATTAATATGGTTGTGGATAGACATCTAAAGTCATGCAAACTCCTGGCAGGCGTTATTTTATCAGATACTAACCATGCCCTTCACTCTTATCTTTCTCCTTGTATATCTTCTGGTAGAACGAGACGTAATTACGTCAAAATCCATGCACGCAAGCAAAAGTATAAAAGTTCTATAATACCTTACCTAGCAAATATATTCTGTGACGAACAGGTTGTTAGAGTTGACCTAATCAATAACCCGGGTAGCTAATGTTGAAGTTGAGTAAACACCTGATAGCCGAACAAAGCATAGAAAAATCGTACTTCTCCGAAATGGTGTTCGGTGGCTTGCTAGCTTCACTTCCGCACATATTGTCGTCTCATTATCTTACCTTGGATTTTCCTACTAGCTCTGATTACTATGTAAAGGGTTCGCGCAACAAATTATATGAGGTAACTTGTGAACAAAAGATAAATGCTACCGAGATAAAACGAAACATAACATTCATGGACTATCTCTGAATATTAGTTGAGCAGTGGTCAACGTTAATAGTACTAGTAAGAAGGTTGAACAGTCTACGAGTTAGTAATTCTCTACCAAACTGTGGAAAACGAACTGACATGTTTTTGTTCAACAAACTGATAGAACCAATATTCCCATAGAAGTCAGTTCTAGGAAGAAGATGATGTAACACTTAAAGTTGGGTGGTTAAGAGTTGACCGAAAACAGAGTAACGTCAAAACATTACAGCTTATGTATTTATTTACTTCTTTATGTTGGGTAGGTATCACAGTTGTTATTAGCCTATACTCGATACTAAATACTGTGTTTTTTAAAGATAACCTCGTGCTCCGGGTGTTCTGTTTTGCGATTCAAATAAAGACACACTGCAACCACTAGTATGGTTTCTTCAAAATATAAAACAAGGGGTTACTACCAACAATAGAATTTTACATTCAGTATCACGGAATATTTCAGTTTGGAGGGGATAAAGTGTAGGTGGCCTGTAATAGTCCTGATAATGGTGAACTCTCAGTTGGTCTTTATTTGGAAAGCGTCACCATATGGAGCTTCATCACGCGTTGAGGTAATGAATTTCATTCGCTGATAATAAGATGGGAAAGACATGTGATTTGTTCTGGGCTTGAGAAAAATTTCGGAGTTTTCTCTCTGTCTTAAAAAACTCATTGCTGGCCAGAGGTAACATACGGGTGACAGATATGGAAGGATGGAGTCCTGACATATAACTGGGCGCTAACCGAATAATCCAGCAGGCAGATCAGTGAGTGCTGAACAGTTTACTGATCCTTGACCAGGTTAAGGACAACCAATGAGCGTCAATAAATTGCACGATATAGACAGGCGCATGGTTCTACCTTATACCCCTCTTAACTGATAATACAAATATATGTTGTCAACTGAGAGTGTTTGTTCTACGCAGTCCTCTGAATATCACTAGAAAGTAATCCAGATTGAGTGCAAACCGCGATACGTGACTCTGATGTGTGCTGGAAGGTCACACCATTTCCGTCCGACCCGAGCGGACGGCGATCATCTTGATAGATTAACTACATAAATTATCTACAAATGCGATCAGCTCCTTAGCATCTTTAATGAGTACGGTTAGCCTGTGGAGGCCAGTTGATGAGGCAGGGACATTTTTAAAGAATTTATACAAACAAATGACTCGGGTGATTTAAGTGGTTGTAGCGACCGAACAACCAATATTCGGATGGAACAACACAGTGAGCAACCACAGAAGTATGTGGTTCTTGAACCTTTGATCACTCATCTGAAATTGCACTTAAAACGCACAGAGCCTTGCCAAGAACGGAAAAACTCTGACTACCCACATTTCGTCCACAACTTACAATACTAAAATCTAAATGTGGAACTCAACACGAATATTGGACTTGGAATCGGACGTGGGAAATTCTTTGGTTGGGCTACCAACGCCCTTGGTTCATGCTTTGTCATTTAGGTCGTGGTCACTTTTTTAATACACCGAATTTACGGCCTTACCAATCTCTCTTGCTCTCTTACTATAGTTTGTTCAGACAAGGTTTATGTAAGTCTCCCTTTAGGGAAAATGGAAAAACGGACCCAACCCAAATGGTTCACTCCAGTTCAAAATGCTCAGGACGGACAGTTACCTAATCTATACCTTTATAACAGCTTAACGTCACGAAAGGTAAAGCTTGGCTTTTTATTCCGTACTCCCCAGGACCTGTTTATCCCGCAAGATGGAAGGCATGTTAAGTGGTACACCTGCGGTCCCACCGTGTATGATGTATCACACCTGGGCCATGCAAGGTTCTGATTTCGATTCATATTTACTAATGCTCTGAAGGACCTACGTTGCGTTTGACGTTATTCGTCGTGTGTTGGTTGATTATTTTAATTTTAAGGTCACTTACGTCTTAAATATTACTGATATCGATGACAAGGTACAAAACATTCTAACCAACACCTATATGCCTCTGCAGATTATTAAGCGTGCTCGACAAAATCACTTGATCAGTGATTATCAGCTCAAAGATCCCGATCTAGCCACAGTTGTCGGTGATATTGCCAAAGGAATTCAGGTATAGTTTTACCATATTCCACATTTTTCGTAAAGATCAGTGTGTTTGCCGAATGCCTCTTAACTTTTTGTTAAGTTTACGCTAATGAAAACTTAACCACTATATTTGATATTGCCATTAATATATAAACTTGGTTTAGTATAAACATAATTTAGTCAGAATCCCATGGTATTCGAGACAAGCCGTCTAGTTGGTCAATGTAAACCAAGTTCTTATTATTATTCGAAGCCACACTGACTTAAGAAGAGTTGCATATATTGCATAGCAAAGCCATATACGAACAATGGGAGTTATCGAAGTTAAAGTCCTTACCAGTTCAACCTTCGGTAAGACTAGAATTTATGGTCGACCTTAGAGCAACGCTCGAGTGACCTTGTGTGTCCACATAATAACTAGGACCAAATGAGGGCTATAAACCAGTGTGAGGAGCTAGTATTACGATATACAGTTGATGGTTAAGGTTAGGAATTAGATTTAATCAGTACATGATTAATCTTTACGAAATCCGGCTTGTTAATCTCAGAGTTGAGCACCTACCTAGTTTTTCGTTCGGTTCATCAACACTGGCACTGACAGTAGTGTGATGCTTCAAACTTGTTAACCTCTTCTCTCTTTGATATGTTGGTGAGTTATCCCTCTACTCGGTCGATTCTTATTCTTCTCAAATGTGTCTGAACAGAACACAGAGCATCTTCGCAGCTGCCTCTATATATGACGTTAGTGCTTCAGCTGTCATTCTGTCTGGTCCAATGATGCCGGTTTCTTCTGTCGGTGATGAGGTTTATTATTTTTGATTCCTGATCTCTGTAACCACTAATACTGGTACAACCCCTTATACTCTGGAGTTTTTCTTGATACCTTCACCATACTGGGCTAACGGGATGCTGTTTCTCGAAAGAATGTGCGCATTTGTCAGGTTGTACGTTGCATATGACTGACTGGTCGGCTTTCCTGTTGTAGTTGATAGATTTCCTACATATTCTCACTTGTTAGCTCTGATGCTCTTCACTCGTTTGTTTGCTTATGCATATTCAGCCTGCTCCTTGGCATCCTCTGCTCTTGTTCAGTTGTTTTTAACTACCATCTTGTTTTTCCTTTCTTGAATCCTGCCCAGGTAATCGATAGAGATTCCCTCGATGTTGGTACTTCTTGAGGCTGAGAACCTGGGGTTTTGAGGTTGCTGTTGTTTTGATTTTTTCCAGTTGTTCCTCATCGTTATCTAGAAGAAGAGATACTTTATATATTTCTATGCTGTTTGTACAGTGCTTGTTTAGCTTCGGTTTTCTCTTGGCTACCACCACGTCGTGATCTAACGCTGTGTCAACTCCTCCCATTGTTCTTACATTTTGCGTGAACCTTCTGAATGTTTTATTGATGCAGATGTGATCGATCTGATTTTTCGAAGTGTAGTTCAATGAAAGCTTTTTAGGTTTGTGTATGGGTTTGTGGGGAGAATGGTCGTATCTATGACCATGTTGTTTAAAGTTTATAGACCCATCGATTTTTCGTCACTCTTGTTCCTTCCTCGTAGTCCATGTGGTCCTATGGCGCGTTGATTTTCGATATTGTCGATCCTGACGTTAGCGTTTGTGTCTCTGATCAGAATGATCAAGTGTTTTCATGGTCATTTGTCTACGATGAATCCCAGAGTCTAATGAAACTGATTTTCATGATATACGGTGGGATGAATGGTGGGCGCGTAGTTGTGAACGACATTTGTTGTAATAGTTTTCTTCTTTGTTTTTAAGGATTCTTTGATGATTCTGGATCCATGAGTTCGCCATCGTGTAGGGGATTCTTGTACTTCTTTATAGAGTATCGCTACAAGTCACTGTGTCTGTGTAGCATCGTCAATTGTGGGTAATTTTTTCAAGACGTTTTTGACCAAATATCAAATATCAGCAATCTACATATCTCATACACCCAAATATCACTTATTGTTATACCTAGGTTGGCTTTGTGTATACCAATGTCATCAATTATTACTTCACGCGAGTTTTGTAGCGATCGCTGCTAAGCAGTATCGCAGACTTAATGATAGGCAGATGTCTATTAGAATAAATTATAAAGATTTCGAAACCTAGAATCAAACCTCAAAGCACTCCACAATATTCTCGTTTCCACAAGGGTAATTTGAAATTTATTCTTATTTTCTGTGGACGGCCAACCAGAAAGCTTTTGACCCACTTTAGAAAGGACCTGGAAAATCGGAAGAACACCATTATACTGTACCTTATCCAATGCTCTATTGATGTTCACTGAGAGTGTCTACTGATCTTCTATTGCCGCAAGACTTTGTGTATCTCTCTCTTGGTAATAGCGATTTTATTGTGATGGATAAACGTTTGTTAACCGTACTCTTAATCATTTGTTTTAACGCTATGTTTGATGGAATATCAGGAACCCATACGTTATTTATTTATTTATTTATTTGGACACATGAATATTGGTACAAGAGAGCGCCAATATATATGCGCCACACAAAACAATGAAAATTCGAGAGGAATACAAAGAAAGAAAAAAGAAGCTAAGGAGCGCAACAAAAAAAGAGAGAACAATAACGAAAAGATTGGTGTAAGGTAATGTGCTAGTAATCAGGGAACGCAAAGGTACAATCGGAAGAAATCTTTCAGGTAAGGGAGACAGAACCACTTTTTATGAAGAAAGTAAAAGAAGGTTACAGCGAACCCATACGTTGTATACCTCGTTTCACTAACCAAACTTGTGCACTTTGTATCCGGCTTTTGATGAGGATTTTCGTAAACTTACTTACGGTTCATTGAAATTTCTGGGGTGTAAATGTGTAATATTAGAAACTATAATTTAAATTAATTTCTCTATTGTTGTAGATATTTTATTTTGTTAACTTGTTAGTGTAAATATACCTAAGACTGGTTTCATGTGTCTTACCTTCTTGTGTTTGTTTTTTGCAATACTTATATTTTTCGTATTCTGTTCCATTTCGTTTTCAGAAAATTAAGTCCAAAATTCAGTTTGAGACGGATTTGGATAAAAAGCATACCTAACCAGTGAAGTAGATCGTCTGATATCTCTCCTATCCACTGTGCCACTTGATGAAGAGGATCCAATTAACTACTTGATACTGAACGCTCGTGATGCTATTGCTGATACCTTGGACGCAGCCTATGGCGCTTCCATCAGTGACCACCAAATTTTCGAGGTGTTAGCTAGACATTTTGAAAAGGAATATCTCGTTGACATGGAGTCTTTAAACGTATGTTTATATATGGTTTAATATTATCCACGCTCACCCTGTTTTTTCCATCTTTCGTTCTTATTATTTGTACTACTTACATTCCACAAATGTTAATAGGACACTAATTGTACTGTCTTAAGTGGAGTAGATATTCTTCAAACATCAGGAATCACTATATATATTGTTACCTATAATGTATCAGCTACCCATGTAACTAAAACTGTTCAACGATCTCTTGTTTTATACCACTAGTTAGTCCGTTTTGTTCTCTGATCTCTTGTCTTTTGTTGGCATCAGAAAATTTATCGGTTTCAGATCTAGTTCATTGTTTTCCTTCGATTTTGTCCACAAAACTAAACATTCGCTTCCTTTGCTTTGTGCTGTTTTTGCATATTGTCGCTTTTAATTTTCTAATATTCAGTCTTATTTACTGTTATTCATTATAAGCGTAAATTATCATACCCCTGTAGATAATTATTTCTTGTAGTTACGAAATATGTATATGTGGATATGCTAGATTGCTGTTTAGTCTGAGGGTGAAAAACTTCCTAGATAGATTGCGGTCAATGTTCAGTCGTGTTTTATTTGATTAAATGATACTGCAACACTTATGAAAAACCATCTGTTTTCTCTAGAACTCAGTTCTAACCTTTTTTGTGACAGACTATATTAAAGACCACGAATCATTGTCGGTTTTCAGTTTGTAAACACATATATACTAATGCGGTTTATTCATTTTCAGTGATGTTCATATTTATTTCTCTTCATCATGCACCTATTATTATTATTATTGCTCACCGAAAAATTCCAAAAACTCTCTCTAAATCCTTTTTCTTGCAGATCATTCCTCCATCAGTACTTGTTCGGGTTACGGAGTATATAGATGCAATAATAAAATATGTGAAACAAATTATAGATAATGGCTTTGCGTAAGTGTTTTTGTAGGAAGCAAAGTTTTATTAACCAGTCTTTTTCTATAGTTCGTCTAAAAAACACTGAATAGTTTTTTAGGCGTTTTATTCTTGATTTTGTAGTCTCTGTAAAAAAGGTTTTTATTATTACTGTGTGTACATGGAATATTTAACTTTTCCATAGGAGTTTTTCACTTTTATTTAGATTAAATAAAAATATATCTTTCAAGTTATCTTCATAAATTCACTGCTGTGAAATAGCTATATATTATGTTATTTATTAAAAAAAGATGAACTACTTTCAAATAATCCGAATATCCAACTATAAATTTATGTGGTGAAACTATAATTGATGAACGGCCTTTGAGTATTACTGAAGTAACCTTCAGAAGATTCACGTATTCACTAGGGTCAAAAGTAGGTTTTAAACTATTGTAAACAATTAGTATTGGAATTTGAAGTTAGACACTAGGGTTAGGAATTAGAATTGATTTTTCACCATGAACTGACTTCAGCTGTAATGTTAAAGTACTATTTATCCATATGGATGACTGAATTTCGCGCGAAATCCAAGATTTATTCTTAATCTGATTGGTCCATTCGTAAACTATAGTCTCACCATTCGTGTTCATAGAAACTTCCAGCAATCGAAATCAATCTGGTCAGAGTCTATTCAGGGAAATAATCTAAATTATCAAATATAAATCGAATCAAAGACAATTCCGCATTCATCTATAAATCTAAATACTCGTGATCGATTATGTGTGATGGGTTGGATTGCAAAAATTTATTGTTAAATGATTGAGGAATGATATCATATTGGTCTCTTGTCTGTTTTGTACTTCGGGCACTATAGCCATCGATAACATGTTGCTTATTTATGTTGTTTGAATGTGCTTTCAACTACTGTTAACTACTAATATATCAACGTATACTTTGACAAAGTCTGTTCATCTCTATCTGCATTTAATATTATGATAATTGGGATGACTAGTATAATTCTGTTCATATAATATACATAACACTACGTACCACAATTTAAACATAACGCATATCAAGTGACTCAGATTTATACAACCGAATAAGATCAACATTTGAACTGTAATGGTTGGAGAAACAGTCCAGTGCAAAGATTTTTTAAATTTCAAATAGTTCAGTATATAAATTCGGATCAGATTGGCGACGAAAGCGTTGGTAAAACTATTTTATTTTAATCGCTGAAAAATTTTCATATATAATCTCATATTTCATTGTTGGTCAGTTGTTAGATTTTTTAAGACTATTTGTTTATAATACTGTCGAATGTGTCTATAAATCAGATTAAGGTGCTTTTTTTTCTTGTTCTTGTCAGATATGTTGCTCCATCTGGATCGGTGTATTTTGATACAAATCGATTTGCAAGTTCTCCTATGCATTTTTATGCTAAGCTTGTGCCAACTGCATATGGGGATACTAATCAACTGGAATCTGGAGAAGGTGAACTGTGTATAACAGGAGAGAAAAAGTCACTGAATGATTTCGCTCTATGGAAAGCATCCAAACCCGGAGAACCTTTTTGGTCTAGTCCTTGGGGTAAAGGCAGACCTGGATGGCACATAGAATGTTCAGTTATGGCTAGCGATATTCTTGGGGATACTCTTGATATACATAGTGGTGGAGTCGATCTGAAATTCCCACACCATGATAATGAACTGGCACAGTCTGAAGTAAATCTCAGATGCACTTGCAATATTATCAACTTGTTAGTGTGACTAGTTATAGTAGGGTTTTAATATTACAGAAAAAAGTGTGTCACAATAAGGGATCAAGAAATACTCCAATCACAGCTAGATGACATCACAGTCTGAGTGGGAACACAAATGAGATATAGTCTGTTCAGTTAGAGATCTTGAGATCTCATTGAACATGAGAAATATGATAATAAACCACGGTAGGAAAGCCACTGACTTCTATTATGAATAGTATCGGAAGTCTGAGGCAACCGAGTTGCACGATGTTTAATACTTCGTGACTCAGGAGGTCACGACAGGCTTACATATTCTAATCCAACACAACTATCCTTAATTCTAAGAAACGATGTCATAAACTGAACATCTGTCCCCTCTTTTTACCTCGTGACAGCGTAGATGATTAATAAATCACTGAGATGATTGAAAATGGACTTACCTATATGGTTGTTTCTCTCTGTATGATGCTCGTTACTAATTATTTAATGATTAATGTTTATCATGTTTTCTTCTGATGCCTCTCTACAGCATTTGTTTTGATGTGCTTGTGACGTCATGCTTAAGTTTTATGTTACTAAGTTATATCTACTTTCAAATTGAGTGCTCATTAAATGATCTGAGAGGAACAATATACTTTTTTTTATCATGTCTTATGAACTATAATACAGACGCTATAATTGGTCATATATCATCCAATCTAGTTTTCGTAATTTTCTAAATTTTTTTCTACTTTAGGCCTACTTTGGACATTCCCACTGGGTTAACTATTTCCTTCATTCTGGTCATTTAACTATATCCGGTTGTAAAATGTCAAAATCTTTAAAAAATTTCATAACTATTCGTGATGCTCTTAAAACTCATTCATCTCGACAAATTCGTTTGATATTTCTTTTACATTCCTGGCGTGATACTATGGATTATAGTGTTGATACATTAGCAGAAGCTGTTGGTTTCGAGAAACAGTTAGTTGTAAGTAGGTTTTCTTTTTCAAGTTGAATGATTTTCTGTTATAACTGTGACTGCGTGACTGCAGATTAGAGCGAAGCGTATTATCGATCGGACCAAAGACGCGTAAAACACGCAAGGCCGACCTAGAGTCCCGATTGGTCCTGCTTCCCTGTCTAGCCCAGCCAGTTGAGTCCAGAACGCAAGTCTCAGCCTCTGAGATACGAATCATTATATTTCAAACATACTGAGTTTATATACCAATCAAACCGACCACAACGTACCAATAAAATATGAAACAACATTGTACAAGAATTAGCCAGATGTGGCTATAAATGAGGGAGGTAGCGATTAACAAACGGAATAATTCATGAATGGTAAATCGTATAATAATAGTTCATAGGTCAAAATAAAGCTCATAATAAGAGGGACATGAATATGAACAGTTTAGTTATATAACAATTATACGATAAAAATGTGCTCATAATATTGGTCCATAAATTGATCCCAAAAATTACCATTCATTTACTCTTATCGGGATACAACATTTTCTTTTCTTTGAATAAATAACTTGTAAAATTCAAAACTGGTTTATTGAGATATTTTGTACTTTAATTTTTATTTCTATGGTTGTTTTATGTAAATTCACTGTTAGCCACCATCCATCATCTCTGCTTATAATGCTTGTGACTTAAGGCAATATTGAAACAATCCGTACAGTATTCACTTATGCCAACATGAAAGTTATCAATTACAATCCTAAATATCATTTGGAATATTCAAACAAACAATACAAAAATGAATTTTTGCAAATAATTGTTTAGGTTTGTGGAGAATACAAACAAAGATACTAGAAATATTCATTCGACCGATGTATATCTTGTATGGTATTGGCTTAGTTTACACAAATTGTTTTATGTCATTTCGAGCACCATGTATGATAGTTTATACTTGATGATAATTTCATTTGTACCTATTTACTAGTCGTTTTATATGTATATAATTAAATGAAACACATGTACTGGACAAATATTAGTGTACTTGGCTTTGAACAGCATTCGAACTGTGTGGACTACTCATTTGTAGTTTGTTTCAAACCCCGAGGATTACTGGCTTAAAGTCAAGCGTCCTAATCATCGGGTCACCTATCCACTTTGTCGTTGTTTAAATTACCGTTATGACTGGTCCCAACCCTAACACAACGGGCATCAGACCTGGTGAGATTCAATTTTACGGATTTTTCATTTTACTGTTTCCTGTTGTAAGTTGTAACGTTTTAGATTTGTTAATTACTTCGTAGTGTTATTCTATAGACTCATTTGTAGCTGTTATTTGTTTTAGGATTTTTTGTACACCTGTTCAAATATTCAGTTTCTGGCGAAGCAATCTTTGTCGAATAAACACGATTTGGAAGAAACTGAGAACGGTGACTTTCAACAGACTCTTGTGGATATACAACACAAAGTATATGATGCATTATGTGGTAATTGGAAATATAAATTGTGTTCATAGATCTTTATTTATTATAAATGCTATAAGCAAATTTTACCTGTCGCGGTAATTGTGTTCTCCTACTTAGATGTTGGACATTTATTTTGTATTGGCAGTCATAGAAACTTAAAATAAAGAATTATTCTTTGAGTTTGATTTCCAAGCTAGATAAGAAAAGTCATATGTAGCAGATTAAATCAAGGTAATAAAGTGGTGGCACAGCGGTTAAGCTGTTTAATTCTCATCCACTAAGTCATGTATTCGTACCCCGTTCCACTTGCTTCGGTTAGAGCAACTGAATAGTATCATTACCCTCTACATTTAGAGTGTGGCTCATAATCAAGTACGCAATATGTACCTGGTAAATGAGTTGCCAGATAGTTAATAAACTGTTTCATATTTAACTATGTCACCTATAAGTAACATTTTTCATCTTTTCTCCACGTTGGTGATGAAAATATTTCATGAAGAGGAGAGGCTATGCTTATTATAATTTGTATATTTTTTATTATCTCAAGTCAAGTGAATAATAACTTAGTAATGAACTTTCCCTCTTCATTAAAATTCTTGTAAATTTGTAATTCCTGAGTCATAATAAACCACAAAGGTATTGATATGATGTTATGGAAAAATCTTTTCACAAATACACGCTACAAATACAAATGCACTCCAGGTAGTTGTTATGAATTAACTTGATTCCGTCAACATTCTCTAGTTTATTGGACATATGTAGATTACACTCACTTTCGAAGTACAGTGATTTCGTAATACTGCCGAAAGCTATCTTCAACTCTTCGAGCATGTTACATCTGGGAGGAAGGGTGTTCTAAACATTTTTGTGCTGTTTGTCTAGTTGTACAGTGCTTGCTTAGCTTCAGTTTTCTCTTGGCTACCACCACGTCGTGATCTAACGCTGTGTCAACTCCTCCCATTGTTCTTACATTTTGCGTGAACCTTCTGAATGTTTTATTGATGCAGATGTGATCGATCTGATTTTTCGAAGTGTAGTTCAATGAAAGCTTTTTAGGTTTGTGTATGGGTTTGTGGGGAGAATGGTCGTATCTATGACCATGTTGTTTAAAGTTTATAGACCCATCGATTTTTCGTCACCCTTGTTCCTTCCTCGTAGTCCATGTGGTCCTATGGCGCGTTGATTTTCGATATTGTCGATCCTGACGTTAGCGTTTGTGTCTCTGATCAGAATGATCAAGTGTTTTCATGGTCATTTGTCTACGATGAATCCTAGAGTCTAATGAAACTGATTTTCATGATATACGGTGGGATGAATGGTGGGCGCGTAGTTGTGAACGACATTTGTTGTAATAGTTTTCTTCTTTGTTTTTAAGGATTCTTTGATGATTCTGGATCCATGAGTTCGCCATCGTGTAGGGGATTCTTGTACTTCTTTATAGAGTATCGCTCCAAGTCACTGTGTCTGTGTAGCATCGTCAATTGTGGGTAATTTTTTCAAGACGTTTGACCAAATATCACTTATTGTTATACCTAGGTTGGCTTTGTGTATACCAATGTCGTCTTCTTTGTTTCGAAGGATTCTTCGATGATTCTGGATCCATGAGTTCGCCATCGTGTAGGGGATTCTTGTACTTCTTTGTAGAGCAACGTTGCAATTCGTTGTGTGTGTATAGGAGCATTTTCTTTTTCATCATTAGAATACAATAATCGCTCTTCTGAATTTCGTCTCCTCTTTGCAGATTGTTTCCAATGTGTTTCATCTGTTCCAAGCAGCGTTTAGGTTATGTCTTCGCATTTCTGTCGCTGTTTGAGTGATCCTTCAGGTCTCACATTGTCCAGACATCCCATGCATCTACATTAATTGTTACTGTGGTTGTCGAGTTTGGCACCGACCTCGTGATGTGCGATGAATCTTGGCCGTCATCATGAGGTGTTTTAATTCATATATGAAGGCTCTCCAATGCTCAGGGGAGAGTTTAAAGAGCTTTTTCTGTCTAATGCTTTTTAGTTGGGCGCTCATTTGCGGGATGGGGCTACTAACCATACTCCTAATCTTCTTCCTCCACCCAGGCTTAGGATTGAGTGTTACATATCCGCGATCTAGTTAATTAGGAAGTACGGTTTCTCATGGATTCTGTTTGTAATTTTCCACATACTTTTAGCTATAATCTATCCCTTCCACTACAGTTATAAAAATTAACCTTATGATACGATGCCCAAAAATTAAGCCTTACAGTCAAGCCTTAATGGATTGAAAAATGAATAACCTACAAGCTAATTTCGTTCAATCGTCTAAGACATTTGATCATATCTATTTTGTGTTTATATTTTGCACGTAACCATGTTGTTTTGTTACGTAACGAAAACTTATCCGTCCAACTATTGGGCTTTGGTTTCGAAACATTCGGGAACCTGAGACAATAATACGGCCTCGTGAGTAGCCAATACTTGCTTACGTTATATCATTGCGTTCATCTATCGATTAGCATTCCAACGATCGGATATTTCGTCTAATCAAATCATCACGGAAAACCTCTATAACAACCCAATTATTTCAAGGGGAATTCTTTAGAATCGTATAATTGTATCTGAATCATAAATGCTCGTTTCAGCTTGAAGTATTATTAAGATGTATACCAACTTTGTAAAATACAGTTGTTCTTAATCCTTTTTTTGCTAGATTCTTGTGATACTCGATCAGTTCTGGATTGTATTAAAGTTTTAATGTCTGAAGCTGACTCAAGAATATTCAGTCGTATTGAACCAAACAAGTGTATTTCCAAACTGGCTGATGATGCATTCGCTACAGGTCGTTTTATTCTTCAATTGCTGCGTATTTTTGGAGTTGCTGATCACACTGCTGTTGCTGCTGGTTCTCCGGTACCATCTGGAGCTATCATAGCCGGTGGTAAAGTTCCAGAACATCATGAAAGTATTCCTTTAAGAGAAGCTGATGAAAGTGCATTTGGTTTTCGTAGTTGGCTTTCTCTCGATACGCTAACTGAAGAACGTCTTATATCCAGTGTACATAAATCGTTGGAAGCTTGTTCCATTTTTATTCAAGCTATTATTCATGAAGGTTAGTTTTATTACTTTATATTATAACGAAGAAATGATTAACCATTTGTTGCGGGATTATACGATACGAGATAATACTACCCGTACGAATCAGTTAGATTTGACCACTAGATTATATTACGCTAACAACTGCGAACTTGATTATAGAGACAGAATGGTTTATTCATTTGAAATGCAGTCAACCACGGTTTAATCTAAATAGGAATCTCGAGTGAATCATAGTTGATATACGATCATCACTTCTATCCTGCTTCGGTTTGGGCACCCGGGCAGTATCACAGCCCTCACATATCAAATGAGATCTGTGTGGCGCATATGTATTTGGTGCCTCCTTGTACCAATATCTATGTGTTAAAATAAATAAACATCACTTCTATTATTAATTACTGTGGTAGATGTCTATCTTGGCTAAATAACCAATTACTTCTCATATCACTTTAATATAAAACATTCAAGTTTTTTCAGCTGGTCAGTAATATAAGGATTATATATTCATCCCAAACTACTGTTATTGACTAAAAATCTACAATTCGTTCCCTAGCCTAACTCAGTTTTCATAAAAAATAGTTTTCATCACTTTGGCTGAATATAATATTGCTGTGAGTTGGATAGAATACTCTACATAGTGTTGAACATACATTTTCCATGATGTCCCTCATTGGTTTAATCATATTATTTCCAACCAGCAGTTTAACAGTCTTAATCATACTTCATTTAATAAAGTTTATCCTATTGAACAGCATTGTTAGTCCCTAGTTTGTGCACTTAATTTGATGTTAATCATCATTTGGTTGATGAATTTGATTATTTTTTTAGATAGGGGTACCTGAAATCTTGAGAAAGTGAATATTCCTCGTATGATTAAACTTATCACCCAGTTTCACAATCTGAAACTACCCGTGAGCTACTTAGGCACTGAGAGTCTTCTAACCGCCCAAAAATAAGCTGAGACTAATGACATAGAAAAAGACAGTCTGTTATGTGGTATGTTCTTAGTATGTGAGGCCTTTGTTGGCCGTTTTAGCCTATTCATTATCTAAATGGTTACTCCTTCACAAAACCACGCTTCATGTTTCAGCTGAAGTTATATATTTTCGAGATAATGGAAATTTTTAGCACAGGACGAGCACACAACATCTCTGGCATATATATATATATATATATCTTCGGATGTCTATTGCTGTTGGGGTCGCCACATCAGAACTTGTTGTCACCTATTCGCCTCAACTATGGAACGCAGTTATGCCATGTAATTGACGCTTGTTCTCGTTGGTTATTTTATTCTGTAAACTGGAATTCAATTACTGAGGACTGCGATTATGTAATATTACCCTTTAATGTATAAAAGAGTTGTCTACTCTCGATCGTTGGTATTCATAGTTAAGAATGAAAAAGTCTCTTTTATTGATTCAATGTTTTAAAAGGTGGTTAATTAAATAACACTAGAAAGGTGATTTTTCTTGAAGCAAATATTTTATATGAATTTCCAGGTGACACATTTAAGGAGATTGTGAATACTTTCGCCTATGAAGTGCAGAAACAGTATGGAATTGATTATTCAATGTGCAATCAGATGAAAGGCGTAAGTTTTCAGTTATATGTTCTGGTATTCTGAGTTTATTGTTACGTATGATTATATTGATGCTGTTTTTTATAAGACTTGGGAATTATATCTTTTGGCTTATAGTTAATTAACTAACCATAGTAATATTTATTATTGTGGAATGTGGTGAAGGTACATCCGGCTGGTCGGATGATAGTTTGAAACGCGCGTCCTGGATTCTATTGCTAGCCACCATCCATCTCTGCGTAAAAAGTGCTTGTGGCTTAATGACACACAGGATGCAAATATACCAAGAAGAGATTGATCCACTGGTTATAATAATCACCCGTACCCCAATTAGGTAGTCTTCACTTACATACATGTTTCAGTCCGACAGTCAGTATCCTCATAGACTGATGCCATGTATTGGTTTGGACGCCTCTAGCTTCCAATTTACTCTTTTACCTGTCTATCATCGCGCGTTGAGGTAGTCGGTGAATGGGTATACGTAATACATATCTTTACCATTTCAGTCAATAAAGCTTCACTACTTTATCAATCGATTTGCCATCCTTACCTAGTGCTCTGTGTATAACTTGAGGATTGCTAACTTCATGTTCCTAAAAGACACTAACGCTAGTTTGAATACACCTGTAATAGCATACCAGTTACAAGTGTTTAAGATCCCCTAATCAGTGTAAATATTTTCTGTTTGTACATTATTATTGTTTAATCTACGTCATCACCGACGCATTCATCACATATGTCGATACCGCAAAATTAGTAATATCAAAGCTAAGTTGGTAGATAGTTGAAATATATCACTGTATCAATTTATTAGTTTTCATTAAATAATGAGCTTATAATTACCAAATGTTTCTTTCACTGATACATTTTAATAGTGAAAAACTGTATCCATAGCTGTCTTCGAAGCACTACTCGTATATCCTGAGACCACCGAGTAAGTAATGCAGTTGTTAGGAAACGGGTACTATGTAAGGATTACAAGTCAATTGGTGAAGTAGTGAAACTTCATCAGTTGAGATGGCTGGGACATGTGTTACGTATGCACAACCACCGACTGCTCCGGTGTGAGATGTTTTCTGGTGTAGTACGTCGTAAGAAAGCTAAGGGCGGTCAGACTAAAACATGGCACAAGTCCATGAAGTCATTGACGACAAGTGTACTGAGCCATGTTGGTAGGTGTAGACTACCTGGTTGGGGACCGCGAGATGATAGCAACCTATGGTTAGAGACCTTGAATAACATGACTCAAAATCGTTTGTGTTCTCCCAAATTCTAATCTTCTAAATTCTTCATGTCCTTTTTTTCTCTTTCCGAATTCATTTCACTGAATTATACTCATTGAATAACATCTTCAAACCTTAATCTTTCCGATTACTGCTTATACTTCTACTCCTTTTGCCACTAGGATTTGATCGACAATTGTATCTCTGTGCTAACGTGATATACGTACGTACGGAGTTCTACGTTGTTGCTGACTGACTGACTGTATCCATTATAATCCTTGCAATACTTTAACAATCATGTACAAATTTCATAACAATCTGTTCCAACTAAGTAAAACTAATCTGTCTAGTTCTGTGTTATAAATAAAGAACTCTTATTTAAGATTAGAAGTTGATTGCATATCAGTTTATTGTATTGGTCAATGTTGTTGTTAGTTAATAGCAACAACGACGTTCACTATTCATTCTTTATTAAATTAATCTGTATATGTATGTTTCGTAGGATTTATTATGTTATCTCAATTTATATTTACCAGTAATGTTCAAAACATTGGTCACTTTTAGTAGTGAAATATTGTTATTGAATTAGAATTGAATAATTTGTAATAAAGAATGTTTATTATTTATGAAATTAGTTGCTAATCAATTTAATAGTATACGTAATTACTAGTCGGTTATGAATATGCGATAATACAAACTGACTGATTGTTAACTCCTTATGAGACTAAATTATTGACATAAACTCTCGATTGGTTTTAAATTTAAAAAAAAAACAAGACAATTACCCAGTTGAATAGGTTTTCATCTAACAAAGTAACCTGTTTATATATATATATATATATATATATATATATATATATATATATATATATATATATATATATATATATATATATATATATATATATATATATATTATTCTGAATAGATCGTTATTGCTATGTTACTCTTTTCTCCTTAATAGAATCTTTGGAATGCATTTTGAAAACTACTAATCAAGCTAGTCTTTCTGAATCGACGTGTATACCACATGGATTAGAAATTAATGTTTGGCCAGTTGTTCTTAATTTTCTTCATACACTTATTTCTATAAGAAATACAGTAAGAAAGGTTCTATCCTCAGGCTCCATAACTGATTCGTTATGCAAGAAACGGTTATACGAAGCATGTGATCGTTTTCGTGATATTGATCTTGTCAATGCTGGAATTCGGCTTCAGGATCGAGCTACAGCAATTGATCTTAGTCGTGGTTTAGATATTTCACCTTTTATTGGATTGGTTGATAAGAAATTTTTGATAAGCGGGCATTCAGAAAGTAAAACAAAGGTAATTATGAAAAGTCACGTACTATTACTGTTTATTTAAGCTTGCTAGTTTTGTTTACTTAAAAATTTCAGATTCTTCTCATATGTTCGTTCATACATTGTTCAGTTCAACTGTTTTAATTCATTAGTTGATAAACGTACCAAGTGTGAGATATATTTAGATTAGATATACACTTTCATGTAGAAGGTAAATTAATCAGTGTGCTTTTAGTGTTGCATCAACTGAACATGTACTACACTACCCTATTTAATGCTTGAGTTGATATTGTTAATTGACATACTAACTTACCTACTTACACCTGTTACCCCTCGTGAAGGAGCATAGGCCTCTCACCAACATTCTCCATCCAACTCTGTCCTAGGAAATCCTTTCAAGTTGCTATTCATCCTATTCATGTCTGTTTCCAATTCTCGATACAGTGTGTTCTTTTGTCTTATGCTTCCTTTTTTCCCTTCTGGATTCCAAGTTAGCGCTTGCTTCGTGATGCAGTTTAATGAATTTCTCAATGTGCCCTTGTTCACTTCCAACGTCTTTTACTAATTTCCTCTTCAACTGGGAACCGGTTTGCTCTCTCCTACAGTAGGCTGTTGCTGATGGTATACAGCCAACGGACATTCAGTATCTTTTATGAACAATTTATAAATACTTTTACCTTTTTGATGATGGTTGTTATAGTTCTTCAAGTTTCAGCTCCGTACAGTAGAACTGTCTTGACGTTCGTATTGAATGTTATGATTTCGATGTTGGCTGACAGTTGTTTTGAGTTCCATATGCTCTTCAACTGTAGGAATGTTGTCCGTGTTTTGCCAATCCTCTCCCTCACGTCTGCATCAGACTCTCCACGTTCATCGATGATGCTTCGCATGTACCTGAAAGGTTCCACCTCTTCCAGAGTCTCTCCATCAAGTGAGATTGGATTGTTCTCTGTGTTGTATTTGAGGATGTCGCTTTTTCCCTTGTATATGTTGAGGTCCACTGATGCAGAGGCTGCTGCTACACTATTTGCCTTCCACTGGATTTGTTCGTGTGTATGGGATAGAAGGGCCAGCTCATCTGGGAATTCGGAATCGTCTAGCTGCATCCAAGCTGTCTATTGCATCTCGTACTTCCCCTCAGATATGGAGGTCTTCATAATCCAGTCAACTGTCAGAAGATAGAGAAAGGATGAGAGTTAGCAGCCTTGTATGACTCCGATCCTTACTTGGAATGCGTCTGTCAGCTGTCCGTTGATTGATATAGAATCGAAATAATTGGAGAATGTGGTTATATGAATTAAGTTGTCATTGTACCAGAGTTGTGTTTTCCCTATTATTTCATCTTCTCTCTTCCACGATCAACGACAGGTCATTCATCCAATTATTCTGTAAATTATTCGTTTCCCTCCTTTGATGATGTAACACAGGCTTTCTGGTCTCGTCCTCTGAGTTAACTTACTTACTTACTTACTTACGCCTGTTACTCCTCGTGAAGGAGCATAGGCCGCTCACCAGCATTCTCCATCCAACCCTGTCCTGAGCAATCCTTTCCAGCTCCTTCCAGTTGTAATTCATCCTTTTCATATCTGCTTCTATTATCCGACGTAATGTGAGTTAACTTCTCAATGTCTTATTATTATTTAACGGATTTATCCAAAAACAAAAGAACTCTGTTTCACTTTCTCGCATTCTTTTATCTTCTAGAATGTATTAGTACCCACTGAATTCATTTAAATTATTCACTTATGCCCAACGACCGACTGCCTCGACGTGCGATATTCAGTGGTATAGGAGTAGGTTGGAAGAAAGCTAGGGGCGGCCAGACCGAAACATGGCACAAGTCCATGAAGTCACTGACAAGTGGTCTGAGCCATGTAGGTAGGTGTAGACTACCTGGTTGGGGACCGCGAGATGATGACAACCGATAGTTAGAGACCCTGAATGACATGGCTCAAAATCGTTTGCAGTGGCGCAGGTGCATCCACTCTTTGTGTTCTCCCAAATTTCGATCTCCTTATTTCTCCTTGTCTCTTTTTTCCCCTCTCAAATTTATTTCACTGTATTATACTCTTTAAGTAACATCTCCAAACACTAATCTTTCCGATTACTGCTTATACTCTTATTACCTCTACCACTACGGGATTTGAGTCGACCACTGCATCTCTATGCTAATGTGGTGTGGCAACTCGAACTGATGTACGTACGTACGAAGTTCTACGTTGTTACTGACTGACTGAAATTATTCACTGTATTTCAAGATGAATTAAATCCCTACCAATTTATGTTTAACCGAAAATCATTGATATGTAATTTACATTATAGTGGTTAATTTAACAGTATCCTAGGTCATTAAAAAAAGTCTTTTATCATGTTACTAACTTTTTACGCTTTTTAATCTTCCCACATTCTATTGTTTTGTTTATATACGTTTCCAGATTAATATTACATCTACTTATGTCTCTTATATAGGTTTTATTTTAGCATGATTTTTTGTCATTTCATTGGTCTTTCATTCGTTAAAAGACCATATTATTTAGGTTTCAATATGTATTTCATAGTTTTTAATTAGGGATAGGATAATTAATATATTTCCTGTTTGTCCCATTAATTTTTGCACTGTACTGTACTACTGCATTATGTAAACAAATGACGGTTTATATGCTTTATATAGATTTCATAAATCCTACTATTAAGCTACCATTAAGCTTTTCTTTGTAATTTAAATCTTTGCACTTACACACTAAAAGTATTCCATGAACAAACAATCCGTATATTCCTTCTAATAATCTTTGCTTTTCCATTATCAGCACCTTGTGTTTTATTCACTGATGGACCAAATATAAAGATTAGCTGTATCTTATCATTATCTTTTGAACAGATAATAAACACTCCGTTCTCCCGCTTCAGTATTTCGTACTTTAGATCAAGCACACTTGAAGTATTGTGATTGTTGTATTATAGGATTATAAAACATTAGGAAAATCTAAGAAAAATTCACTTACATTCACACCATAAAATTTACTTATTGCAATACATGTAACTTAATAAAGGAACAAATACATTTATTTATTTTAACGCATAGATATTGGTACAAGGAGGCACCAAATACATATGCGCCACACAAATCTCATCCGATATGTGTGAGGGCTGTGCTACTGCCTGGGTGCCCAAACTAAACCAAGTGGTTTTCTTAGGGGGCCACTCCCGAGCCTCCGACCTGAAGGTCTGATCCACAAGGCAGTGGAGCATCGTAAGGAGATTCAGTCCCATGGAAGCCGGTGACCAACAATTGGTTCATACGTCATTTGTTCCTTCAGGATACTGGAGCCCATGTACATTATCGATTTGGAATCCGGTTAAAGCGCCGGACATTCTCTTTTCGTCCTCTCATTTTCGTAAACAACACCCCCGCCACGAGAAGGCAGTGATTAGGACTTCCCTGGCAGAGGCTATATACACGTGGCTATGTGAGAGCATTTGGAGAGGGAGAGCGGACTCTCCCCACTCTCGGCCGTACCAGGGCATTTGGGGGCTAATAAAAGAACAGTTTATCATTCACTAACTTAGGGCATAGTTTGTTCGATTTTATTGTCATAAAACTGACCAGTTTCAGTGACTAACTATCAGTAAATTGCTCTCTGTTTTATATTTTCCTCGTTTAGCGTGTTGAAACAAAAGTTATAAAAGAAAGTGTTAAGCAAGAGACTGGACGTATACCACCTTCGGAGCTTTTCCTATCTGAAGTCGATAAATATTCAAAATTCGATTCTAAGGTAAATACGGTTATTTGCCTATCTTTGATTAAAGTTGTTCAGAATATTACTAACTAGACTGAGAATTGTTACTCATGTGAGCAAGTGCATTTCTGTATAAAACCATCCGATCCCTACTTTAATACTAAACTTTACGCTCATTTTGTATCTGTATGTGCTTGCACAAATTTGTTAGGCTTCATAATAATTTGTTTTTTTGCTCAATCCAATCAGTTTTGCACACATATACTACTCTAATGTGTATCCACTAATTAAATTATTCCTTTGAGTTTCATATCATTTGTCGATATGAGTTTGTGAAGATTGTTAAATGTTACTGAGATTATAAACCGATCTGGGTTAGACAATCATTTTAAATCAGTAAGCTCTGAACAGCTGTTTCGTCTTTAAATGACGTTCTTCAGGAATGGAAATGTACGATCTCGTCACTGCGAATCGAACCCAGGAATTAGATTTATGTTTTCGTCACGAAATAACATCAGGTATAATGCCAATATGGTATTTAACTAAGTGAGTAAATGAACTTCGCGCTAAAATCCATGACCTGCCATCTTAAAACTGATTGATTCGTCCATAAATTATAGTCTCGCCTAAATACTTATCAGTTACACTATCTTCATGCTTTTTTTTCAATATCATAAGTTTCCTAAGTTTAATTTTTTATTTATGAAAAACTTCAGTTTACATGATCTGTTTTATTCACTTGAATTTTAATGAATATAGGGTATACCTACACATGATGCATCAGGAAATGAATTATCTAAAAGTGCTTTGAAAAAATTACAGAAATTATATATTGCACAAGAGAAACGTCATGCAACATTTTTAAAAAGTAAAGAATAATGTAACCGTTTAAAACAAGTAAAACTTAGTCACTTTTTGTACTAACCGTGTTTGGTGTGTTGCTCCCCTTCTCCCTCTTCTCACTTCATTCTTCAAAAATATATTGTTCCATCTTCATTGAATGTGTATATTCAATTGTGAATTATGTTTGTTTTCGATATATTCGAGGATTTCAATGTAGTTTTCATTTTTTGATTTTTTGTTATCTTTGAAACGGATATTTTGTATTTTTGTTTTTTTAGTTAACAGTTTTTAAAAAGAAAACCAATTTAGGGGATTCTGTTTACACTTTATGTATCTACATTACAATCAAGATGCTATTCGTTGGTATATATTGGTGCTTTGATATATTATTAGTTTCCATATAAATATCATTGTTGAAAGTATAAAATGTGTTTTGTTTCTTCATTTAATATTAATAATGGTTATATATGTATATTTGTGTAAGGAAATGACAAGCGTATTAAGACAAAGTAATTAAGAAGAAAACAGTTGATGATGTTGAATTGATTATTTCAATCTGAAAGCAAGTGAATGAAAACAAAATACCAATTCAATCATTATTTACAATATATCAATCTTATTCCCTTTAAAATACTATCTATTGGTGGTAATATATTTGTCCGACCTATCTGTGCTTCCATTTTTCTAAAAAAGCCTTAGACATCCTCAGAAATTAGACTGAATATTGTACTCATGGTGACTTTTCCAACCAAACTTAGTCGGTGAAGTTGGTAGACCCTTCTTGAGAAGAGGTGTACATTGAAGCATAGCGCGACTATTATTTCCCGCTGATCATTGGTATACCACATAACAGTGATTGATTATACCTTTTCGTATTGGAAGCATCTTCTTACATCCATTGCATGGGGAATTCTGTACTTTCTATGTTTCGTTTTGTAGGTTGTGTTGTGTTTCGAGTATTAGTGTTCATGTGGTTTGTCATTTGGATATTTTAAATGTCTTGTGTGTGTTAGGTAGCATAATCGGAAATGTTGCTTTAGTCATCCTGCAGTCTTATACGTTTTGTTGCGATCAGCCAGCGGAGATTTGTGTTATGTTTATATGGTGATTGTGGTATTTAATTTGTGATCGTTTCTGAAATGTCTGTTTATCTCCTAGACTGTAGCAAATAGTCGGTGACGATATTTATTTATACACTTGTGTATGAGTCGTCTTTGCCTGATTGGTTTAGGTTTGTGTTCTTCATTTTTGTCTATTTTGAATTTACTGAGGTTCTTCATCCAGCATGTTTGTAGTTTGCCTCGCACTTCTTCAATGTCGAGACTAAGTTGTTTCGGTCAGTTTATTGTGTTTAGGTCACTTATTCGGCTTAAGACCTCATCATTAGGTTATTTGGTCTTCTGTGTGCAGCATACCACAGGTTAACGCTGTTCTGCAGCACAATCGTATCTACATTTGGTAATGCTATTTTATTGTGCAGTTGATCTGTCGTCTTTTTGTCGGTCGTTTAGACCCAAGATCATACGCCTTGGTGTGTTTAGGACTGCTTCTAGCCTGATCCGGTTCTTTTTTCTTAGTGCTACGAACTCAACCCGATAGGTTAGTATTGGGATTATCGGAAAATTCGCCGTATTCTCATTTTCGTCACTGTTTTCGACTGTTTCTAGCAAACGAGGAAACTTTTTTCAGATGATGCAACATTTGGCCTTTTTTAGCCGCATGTCTTCAGATAGAATTATATGCTCAGGTGACTTTACCAAATTTAGTTGCTCAATAATCATCCCGATATTCAAGCGGATCGGAAGGCACATCTTTAGTTCTTTGCTCAAAACAGAAGATTGAATTTCGTTGACAACCGATAAACCTATCAACTCAGTTCATTTGCTCACTGAACAGATCTATCCTTATCAAAATGACAAACAGGCTTTCATAAATATAACTTTAAATTTTTTCCCTGGATAGGAGAATACATTCATTTAACAGTTTTGCACCCCTCCCACCAAATGATTGATTCGTAGTCAAATGCCTCTATCTTAAGATGCAACTTATTAGTTCTATCGCTTCAGAATGAGTTTTGTGGAGATTTCAGTAAATTTCACAGGTTGAAATCATGAGTCAGTTGAAGCTAGACCACCATTGAAAACCTGGGAGCACTGGACGGCCGTTTCGTCCTAGTATGGGACTCCTCAGCAGTACGCATCCACGAACCCACCCCCGCGGGATTCGAACTCAGGACCTGCTGGCTTACCGCGCGAGCACTTAACCATTAGACCACTGAGCCGGCATCCAACGGTGTTAATGTCTAACTAGGACGAAACGGCCGTCCAGTGCTTCCAGGTTTTCAATGGTGGTCTAGCTTCAACTGACTCATGATTTCAACCTGTGAAATTCTATCGCTTCGTTAATTGATAGTCTATGGAAACTAAAGGATACTTCGAATAAAAAAGATTACCGTGCAATTTATTAATGAGGTCCACACGTGATTTAATCGAAATTATGTAACTAGATATCAACAACAGAAGTGGATTCTTAAAGGATGTATATTCCTAGTTATCTGTATGAGGTTGGCTGAAAAGATGTTATTAAATCTATTGCTTTGTAAGCTCAACAGTACTGGCAGCCAAATCAACAGTAATTTCAAACAATGGCTTGATCAGTAAGTTCATGTAAATTAAGCGTAATCCTTGGAGCTATTTACTAAGTCTATAGTTTACGACTAGGTTTGAAAATTATCAATAATCAACTTTACAAACCTTACATTTTGACATGCCGTTCTCTTACTAGTCAGTTATAATCAGCTTGGAGGCTATCATGAATATGGATTGGGCCAAGTGGCTATATCACATTAGGGCAACGAGATAAAATTGAAAAAATTAATAGTAAGGAAAGCGAAATAATATGGCGGCAATCATTGTGAGGAAGGCAAAGCGTTCAGAATGTTGTTCGAAAAAACATTTAAGAGTCATGTGTGAAAGAATATTGCAGCTCGATGTCTAAAGTAAGACAAAATGTGAATGCACCCACGGCGTCATAATCGACTGTAGGCCATATCACGCGACGTCTCCAACCGCTGACTCCTGCTATCTCACTGGCGCCAACCAGGTGGTCTGTACCTACCAGTAAATCTCAGACCAATATTCAGTAAGTTTATGGAATGATGCTGCGTTTCGGTTTGATTGTGTAATAGTTTATAAAAGTTGGGAATAATTCATTAAAAAGTACGAGTTTTTCAGTTCTCTATTTGATGGAAGCTATAAAAAACGACTATGTAATAAACCAATAGATTTTTTCACATTAGATATATCTGATTATTTCGATTGAAAACGTAAGCATCATACTTTTAGATACTATCTCTATAATTACGTTTTTTTCGGCTCCGTACTTATCTGATTATTTCAGTTAGTATACTCTTTCCCATAGTATAGACCTTACATCTAATCTTATGACCATCATTATTACATTATGGCCATTTTTGTAGTAATTACTACCAGTGTTTTTAAAAAATTAGAATTGTTCTATTTTCTACTGTGGTTTTCATTCTTTTGACTACATCTAGTCTATTAGTTATCGTAACCTACTCTTTTCAAATTAATGGGGATGAAACATATAAAACGTTCTACATTGGCATGACGTAATACTAAGATCTAACTGACAACTGCCCTACAATCGGTGCTAATCTCGTAAATAGTTTCATCCTTTAAGTTTATACTCATTAAATCTTGTACTTTGTGGTACCATGTATATTCTTTTCATATTGAATTTTTCTGTGTTTATGTTTAGAATGCAATTTGTTACTAAACATTTGATGACTTTAATCCTTGGTAATTAATTTGTCTCTCAACAGAACAATTGCAGATCCTTCTTAATTGGTATATATGCATCCCGTACGGATCGCCTTGAAATAGGTATTATGAAAAGTTTATATATAATAGATGGAATGTGGCTAGTGGTGAAATCCATGATGGGCGTTCCTCCCTATTTGTTGTTTGTCAACCAAATATGCCTACATCACGGAATTGATGTCGAATTCGGAATTCAAACCCAGTTGTTTTTGCCGCAAATGCCAACGCGTTATCCACTTAACAACCGAGTCGATATAGTCACTCACTTGAGCGATGGGCATGGGTTTTAATTTCATTTGTAATCAACAACGAGATAATCAGAACCATTACAAATTAAATAAGAATTCATACCTGTTGCACAAGTGAGGGCTACGTCGACTCAGTGGTTAGTTAGATGACTCGTCGGCATTTGATATTTAAGGCATTGGGTTCGAACCTCGGGATCGAAGTTAATCCTGCGATCTAAGTACTTTCAGCTGGTGAGTCAAAAAACAGGACGAGACTAATACCCCGAATTCCGTTACTAACCTCATTTCATCTAATTTATATAAATGATCGATACCAAAAGAATGACATCAAGAAACCCGGAATTCCATGGAAAGATTTCCTTTGAAACTATAAACACTAAATGTTTAATTCCGAAATGAAGAAAAAATAATACAGGGGATTAATTATGGCAACTTGATAAAAGATGTCTCGCTTAGTAACATAAGGTGCACAATACAACAAAGTTTTGCATTTCAACAATTTCCGTAAATAATGGAGGAGTGTCAAACAGTCAATAAATTAACTATCCATCATAGTATTGAAAAAATAATCTAATCGCGATAGATATGTTTCGTCCTATTAATTGGATTCTGAATTATTAAGTAGTAATTCAGTAAAATTATATCTGAAAAATTATAGGTGAAACGATCAAGGGAATACGGAAAATAATTAAGGTAATGAATATGAGCACGAACTATTTCAAACACCGAAGTTTTAGAAATGAAAATAAAAGGTCGAAGGTCAAGAGCTCAAGGTAAGTGTGAATTCGAAGTCTAATAGCTCATATCATCCCTCCATTTCGCGTCTGTTTGGAATGTAGCACGATAACCCTATCCAATCCCTTTGGATATGGTTCCGATCTTTCGAGGAATCATGGGCGCTCGCTGGTGAGAAGTTTTAAAACAGAACGAAAAAGCTGATTAGTAT